CTTTATTGTTCAAACAAGGCTTGGGGAAGTATCACTTAAGTCCCCTGGGATTTGACTAAGCTTGTTAGGCCAAAAGAGGCTAAAATACACACAGAAAATACAAAAAAAAAAAAAAAAAAAAAAACACGAGATATTCAAAAGGCTCTGCCAAATTAAGCATGGACATAAAATAATCAGGAAAAAAAATAGAACCATTAAATTGTGAAGAGTTCTTAAATTTTTTAAATTAAAAACGTACTTACCTATATTATGTAAATATATACATATATATAAAAGCCTAAGTGACCGTTCAACTGTTAGACCAGTAGCTATGAGGTGCACTGACCACCAGGGGGCAGATGCTCAATGCACAGACAGGGAAACATGGGACAGACTGAAGAATCTGAGGAAAGGGGGGAGGGCGGGAAGAGATTAGCCAAAGATCTTACATGCATACTAAGGCCCAGTGCATGGATTTGTGCACCGGTAGGGTCCCTTGGCCTGGTGGTTGGCAGGACTCTGCTCACACTCTGGTGGGCAGGACAGCATGGCAGATGCAGTAACCTCATTTGACAACCTTTGCAACCAGGCCTTTCCATAATGTCAGTCATCGCTTGAATGTTTATTCTAAAGATTGCCAGTTCAAAATTTTTTCTACACTGTATTTCCATGTCCTATACTGAAGGAGAACAGAGTTTGGGATGCCAAATATGCCACTTTGGCATATTGATTATTTTAAGCTGGTTAATTTTAAGAAACAGCAGGCCTAGGAGAAGCTCTGAAAACCTAGGAGAATTTATCCTTTGTAAAACTCAATTAGATTTGTAAGGGTCACCTCCATCTGTAAGGGGGCTTCCCTCACTGTTCTGTCCTGCTTTCACTGTCAGAGAAGGCAGGGACTTAAATCTGCAGAAAAACCTTAGGCTGGTTTTCTGTGTTTTGCCTGGTGACCTCCCATAAAGACTCTCCACCCCAATGTCATCTTTTGTCACTAGCAGAAGGTGGTATTTAAGATGATGGCTTCCACAATTTGGTAAGTTACTCAGTGTTCCTAGGTCTCTCCAGCGTATACACGTTACTAAACTTTAATTTGTCTTTTCTCCTACTAATCTGTCTTAATTTGATTATTAGTCCAGTCAGAACTTGAAGGGTAAGGATGATTTTCCTCCCCACCAATGTCTTCTTACACAGCTTGTACAAAATAGAAGGCTAATTTATCACAGCTGTGTGTGGTCAGTCGCAATGTCTAAGATAGTACCATTGCTGGCTCCCCATGGGGCTCTTGCAGCTTCTCTCACCCTCATCCTCTATGGCCCCAGCCTGAGTTCCCTTATTTGAACTGTTTTTATTTCTCATCCCCATTGCCATCAGTACAATCATTTTAGGAAGAAAAACAGGGCACACACATATTCCTACTAACAGATGGGCTGAGGGCAAGGTGAGTTCTGGTGCAGAAGTTCTGAACTTGGTGTCTGTGAACTTGATGAGGAAAAAAATATCTTTATTTGCAATAATCTCTGGCTGAGATCTAGTACTCACTCAATTATGAGAGTAGATATTAAATCCTGGAGTTCCAGCCCATGTGGTTTGGCTGCGTGGTTGAGTGTCAACCTATGAACCAGGAGGTCATGGTTCGATTCCCTGTCAGGGCACATGCCTGGGTTGCTGGCTCAATCCCCAGTGTGGGTGTGCAGGAGGCAGCTGATCAATGCTTCTCTCATCCTTGATGTTTCTATCTCTCTCCATCGTCTTTCCCCTCTGAAATCAGTAAAAAAAAATTTTTTAAATCTTGGCTTTCCAGCAGAAACCACAAATATCATCACAAAGCATTAAAGTTGCTTACAAAATCCAAATTGTCAGTTACTTCTCACCACTGCAAAGGAATTACTACCGCCTGTGCCCAGTCTGTTACTAATTCAGCTAATGAAGGGCCCTGAGGAACTTCATCACCAGTTTGGTTCGATATTTTGATAACTTTATTTCAGCAATAATGGGTTCTCTTCTTGATCCTATTTTATCTAAAACAGTAATTTTTTTCAACAGTGCGCCACAAGAATTTTTAAAACATGCGATACCTGACTAGTCAGGGACACTGACCCTTTTCCCCTTTGATTGTCAAATAAAAAATGACAACAGCCAAGAAAATAGCTGTCTGGAGTGAATTAATCAAAGTTAAGCCAATTATTTTTTGGCAGATTGGCAAAAGCATATTTTTGGTGTGCCGCAGAATTTTAGTAATTAGTGTACCATGAGAAGAGAAGGCTGAAGATCGCTGTTCTACATCTTTACAGAGAGCCCAGTGGCCCGTTGAACACAGGAATGTTTATTCTAAAGATTTCCAGTTCAAAAAAAATTTTTACACTGTATTTCCATGTCCTATATTGAAGGAGAACAGAGTTTGGGATGCCAAATATGCCACTTTGGCGTATTATTTTAGGCTGGTTAATTTTAAGAAACAGCAGACCTAGGAGAAGCTCTGGAAATCTAGGAGAAGTTACCCTTTGTAAAACTCAATTAGATTTGTTAAGGGCAACCTCCATCTGTAAGGGGGCTTCCCTCACTGTACCTGTCCTGCTTTTACTGTCAGAGAACGCAGGGAAGGCTCCCAAGGGCAGATGCTTTGCATCAGCAGCAGTTTCAGGGTTTTCTTTTAAACGGTTTCAAAATGATTAATAATTTGCAACAAAAATGAAAGTTCTAACCAGAATGTTACTGCTCATGAAGTACTTCTCTAAAGTTACAACACACTGACAGATGTGAAGAGATGTAAACTAGAGGACAGGACCCAACAAGATGTTTGCACTCAGCATCGTTAACAGCCTGCTGACACTTAAATCACAAGTACGAGCCTCATCTGTCAAGTCCTGTTCCAGGCCAGTTTCACCAACCCCGATGCCCTTTTCAAGTCCTAAAGTAGGAGGCACATTTTGTTGCTGGGCAAGAGAGCAGGGACAGTCAGCCCAGCTCCACGGCGCGCTGGGCAGCCAATCAAATACTGTAAGTGGAGGATGCAGTCGATGAGGGGGAAAGTGATGAAAGGCAGGTGATGTGCAGTCTGCCACCTTCCAGGTCCATGTGCCAGATCCTAGTGCATCACCATCAACTACCTGCAAACTTGACTTCAGTTCTTCCTTTGTAACATCTAGCGTGTACTGTGTAACATATGATGTAATGCATTTCAACATGATGCATTATGTAAACATCATTCCTTTTTTAATGTCATAAAAAATCATAGTTTGGCTCAGTGGATAGAGCGTCAGCCTTCGGACTGAAGGTTCCCAGGTTCGATTCCGGTCAAGGGCATGTACCTTGGTTGTGGGGACATCCCCAATAGGGGGCGTGCAAGAGGCAGCTGATGGATGATTCTCTCTCATCGATGTTTCTAACTCTCTATCCCTCTCTCTTCCTCTCTGTGAAAAATCAATAAAATGTTTAAAATAAAGAAAAGGAAAAAAATCATAGTTATACCCAATTAAAGCTGAAGGTTTCGTTTACCCTAAAGTGGAAGGTGCTCACTTACTAAGGAAAAAAACAAACACAGTAGCTTTTATAGAAAGCGAACTCTTACAATCTAAATTATGAAATTGAATTATACGTGACATGTTAGATACACCCTGGATGGTTGCAAGGCTGCGATCAAACTCACCAAATGCACATCTGCTTAAGGGGACCCCTTCACCCCCACTCCCATCTGCCTTCTGTCCTCAGCCACGACCCCCCACGCCAGCAGCGCCTCTGGGCTCTGAGGGGTCACACCCCAAGGCGGGGACCCTAACTGGGGTCGCAGGGCGGCCCGGGCATTCCCAGAGCCCCAGGAAGCACTCAAGCGGGCTCCACTTTCCTAATTTTTCTGCTGTGACTCGCGGCTTCTAAACATGCCGAGGGAAATAAGCCAGTCAATGAAAGAGAAACACCGCATGACCTCACTCATTTATGGATAATAAAAAACATTATAAACCGATGACCAAAAAGATAGATACAGAAATAGTAAAGCAACAAACAGACTGTCACATTACAGCGGGGAGGGTAGGGAGGTCTGGGGGAGATAAGAGATCAACCGAAGGACTCGTATGCATGCATACAAGTACAACCAATGGACGCAAAACTCTGGGGAGGGAGGGCATGCATGGGCGGGGAGAGGGCAATGGTAAGATATGTACACAGATAATAGCTTAATAAAGAAAATAAAGGAATGTTTAATTCCGGCGAGCGCCTGACCAAGTGGACACGTCCACGCACTATTGCAGTTGGCCATTTATTATAAGCGAGACCTTCGTAACCAACACCAGAAACGGGAACCCCGGCCCGAGGCCCGCAGCCCTGCACCCCGCCGGGCTGCAGCCGGCTCCCTCAGGCCCGGTCTCGCCTCCCCCGCAAGCCCCCGTTGATCCCGGGCAGGACCGGCCGGACGCGCACCGCCTGAGAGGCGCACGGGGGCGGCCAGGGTGCGCCCCTCCGGCGGCCGCCCCCCCGCCATCTTCCCGCCTCCCGCCCCGCGGAGCACCCCCCGCGGCCGCCGCACCAACCGCGGGGCCGCGCCGCCCTCGCGCCGGCCCCGCCCCCGCGCGCCCCCGCGCCCCTCACGCCGGCCCCGCCCCGCCGGCGCCCGCGCGCCCCCCACCCCGCCCCGCCCCCGCCCGGGCGCGCGCCGCGCTCCGTGAGGAACGGTTAAGGGCGCGCGCCTCACAACGGGCCCCGAGCGGCGGCGGCCGCGGCGGCGGCGGCTTCCAGAAATTTCCGCGTCCGTACACCCACCCAGAGAAACAAGGTGGGCGCGCCCCCGCGGCCGCCCGGCGGATAACGCCCCTCCCCGAGTCCTTGCTCCCCTCCCCCACAAGCACCCCCTTCCCGCCCCCTGCCCCGGGCGGCGGGTCCGGCGCGGCCCTCCCGGGCGGCTGCGGCCCAGGGAGACCCAGGCGGTGGCGATGGGGTGGCGGCTGCGGCGCCGGCGGGCCAGCGTGATTGATAGGGACGGGGCGGCGGAGCGGCGGCGGTGGCGGAGCGGTTGAGTGACAGCTTACCTGGGTGCCAATCTTCATCACACTGACAAGCGGCTGCAGCAATCGGGACCCGCAGTGCCGCGCCCGCGTCCAACCGTCACGCCGACGCTAGGCCACGCGACACAGCCTCGCTCAATGGGAGGAGGGCGACGCCGACGCGCGCCGCATCAATATTCAGATAGGAGGCGGGGCCACCCAGGCTCCGGCCCCGCCCCGTCCCTGCGCCGCAGCGGCACGGGGCGGGGCCTGCCTTCCGGGGGTGGAGAGTGAGGCGGGGGCGGGCTGCGGCAGGCCCCGCCCCCGCTTGGCGCGCGAGCCAGGCCCCGCCCCCAGCCAGCCGAGCTTCCCGCCTCATGACTATGCAGCGGAGGCGTGGCCTGGGCGCGCGCCACGCCCCCTCCGCGCGCTCTCCCGCGGCCCGGGCTGATCGGAGGAGCGGGCCTCGGTGGGCGGGACCGTGGGGAAAAGCGGCACCGGCCCCACTTGGCGCTCCGGTCCCGGCTGGGTCCGGGCCGACGCGCGCTGCCCTCAGAGGCCATTGCAGAATGGGCCGCACGGGCGCCCGGCACCGAGCCCGCTCGGCCTGCGCGCGCCCCCTTTGTGTGCAGCCCCCGCCGCCTCCCGGTGGGCGCGAGCCCCGGCCGCGCGGCGGGTGCGGACGCGTGCTCTCGGCCGCGGCAGCTGGTGCAGTTGTCGCCGGCTGTCTCTGCCCGGCCACTGGCCTGGCCTGGGCTCCATCTGTCCCCGGTTCCAGCCACAGACGCTGGCACGCCTCTGGTCCGGCGGGCGCTCAGCCTTCAGTGCACCTGCCCCCCAGGTGACCCTCAGCAGGTGAAGTGACTTTCCTGGGGGACCAGGGAAGGGTAGCCTGTCTCAAGGTGGGCTTTCAAAGGCTGTCTCAGTGCACCCATGGGTCCCCCCTCGCCTCGCGGCCTTGCTCTCTAAGACTCGCAGGGAAGTCCTCACCAGCCCTAGTACAGAGGCATGGCGTTTGTCGCACTAGCCATTCATTTAAATATATCGATACATGGAGCTGAAACCGGTTTGGCGCAGTGGATAGAGCGACGGCCTGTGGACTGAAGGGTCCCAGGTTCCATTCCGGTCAAGGGCATGTGCCTTGGTTGCGGGCACATCCCCAGTGGGGGATGTGCAGGAGGCAGCTGATGGATGATTCTCTCTCATCGATGTTTCTGGCTCTCCCTCTCCCTTCCTCTCTGTAAAAAAAATCAATAAAATATATTAAAATTAATAATAATAAATAAATATACATGTACTACAGGCCAGATATACGAAATTCGTGCAAGAGTAGGCCAACCCCCTCCTGCCCACACCAGCTTTTCTGGAAGTACACCCGGTCTAATTAGCATATTGTGCTTTCATTAATGGGATGTGTGTATATATGTATATGCAAATATATGAATATATACATATATGTTTTATTGATTTCAAAGAGGGAGAGAGAGAAACATCAATGATGAGAATCATTGATGGGCCACCTCCTGCACACCCCCTATTGGGAATCCAGCCCACACCTCCAGGTTCATAGGTTGAGGCTCAACCACTGAGTGACACCTGGCTTGACCATTCATTTTTGCAGAAACATTCCCACCTTGCCCGGTTGGTGTGGCTCTGTCCTTGAGTGTTGACCTATGAACCAGGAAGCACAGTAAGCCAGAACTGTGAAATGACACAAGTGTGTGCAGCTGGCCTGGCCTATTTCCTGAGCTTTGGTATCTGATGGTTAGCGTTATGTGTCCACTTGGCTGAGCTAGAGTATCCAATTGTGTCATTAAACACAAATCTACATAGATATTGCTCTGAAGGTATTTCTTGGGTGAAATAAACATTTAAATCAGTATGCTGTGAGTAAAGCAGATTACCTTCCAAGATGTGGGTGAGCCTCACCCAATCAGGTGAAGGCCTTACGAGAAAACACTCTGAGATCCCCTGAAGAATCCTACCTGCAGACCATGGCAACATCAACTATTACCAGAATTTTAGTTGGCCAACCTGCCCTGCAAATTTCAGACTTGCCAGCACCCACAATGGCATGAGCCAATTCCTTAAAATCAGAAAGATAGACAGTGATATAGATACATATATATTTTTTTTCATTCAATTGTTTCTGTTTCTCTGCAGTGTTTCCCAAACTTTTGACACATGTGCACCCCTTTTATAATTTTAGTAACGCTGAGTACCCCTTGTACTCATGAGAACGTAGAATTAGGTGCAGCTAAGCACGGTGCTGTGCATATCCCCACCAAACTCCGGTGCAACTCGTACCCCCACCCAACTCTTCCCGTCCCCCTGGGGGTACGCATACCACACTTTGGGAAACACTGCTCTAGAGAATGCCGACAAAGACAGTATTCCTTTTCTTCTCTATTTAGACCTCTTTGATGGCACATTAAGGCCATCAGGAGAGCAGACATGCTTTTTTTATTTTCTGCATCATTTTCTCCTTCTCTACTGTGGGTGGACAAGGCCTCTGTGGACAACCCTGGAAGGCTTGTGTCCAAGTTAGCCATGCATTCCTTGGTTCCAGAAGAATTATGAGGATCAGCCACAGAAAACATGCTTTTTCCAGCCCTGAAGTGCTGCTTCCTATCTGCCCATAGTGGTCAGTGTGCCCTTCAGAGAATTACCCTCTTGCCCTCTCAGCACCCCCCCCCACCTCCCACTGGGACCTCCCACCTGGAGGGGCTCTATCCACCACCTGGCTAAGGAGGAGAGGGGGTGGATAGGGGATGAAAAGGGACCCAGATTCAGTGGTCTGGCTGAGGGTCCCTCTGCCACCTCCTTGTACTCCAGCTGACTGCACTGACCTTTGCAGAGACACAGATCTGCTGTGACCCCACCTGGGGGCCCACGATGGATGCCCAAGGGAGAGGGAGCAGAGCTGGTGCACTGCCCTCCTGCACAAAAAGCACAAAAAGGAGCATCAAGCCCTGACTGATGTGTTCAGTGGTTGGGGCATTGGCCCATGTGTTGAGATGTTGCAGGTTTGATTCCTGGGCGAGGGCACACCTGAGTTGCAAGTTTGGTTCCCTAGCCTTGGTCGGGGTATGTGCAGGACGTAACCCACCCATGTACCCTCGAATCTGTGTTTCTTTCTCTCTTCTCTTCTCTCTCTCTCTCTCCTCCCTCCCTTCCTTCCATTCTCTAAAAAACAATGGAAAAATAGCCTCAGGCAAGGATTAACAACAACAAATGGAATATCAAGCTAAAAAAAATTTTTTTCTTGCCCCCTCATTCTTGGCTATTTTCCTAATCTTCCAGAATGTTTACCATCTTTGGAGACATCAGAGTTTCATTTTCTGCAGCATATTTTCAGAAAGAGAGACAGAGCAAGAGAGCGAGAGTAAGAGCGAGAGAGAGAGAGAGAGAGAGAGAGAGAGAGAGAGAGAGAGAGAGAACAGAGCAAGAGAGCGAGAGAGCGAGAAAGCGAGAGCGAGAGAGCGAGAGAGCGAGCGAGAGAGAGCAAGAGAGAGCGAGAGAGAGCGAGAGAGAGCGAGAGAGAGCGAGAGAGAGCGAGAGAGAGCGAGAGAGAGCGAGAGAGAGAGAGAGAGAGAGAGAGAGAGAGAGAGAGAACAAAGCGTGGGCTGGACCTGTGAGCTCAGTCAGAAAGCAGCCTTCTTGGTGGCTGTGTCACCATCTCTCTCGATGCCTGTTGGGCTGGCAGCACTTTGGTTTTGCTGCATCCACATATATTTGTCTATAAATAAAAAAACCTTTGTTACGTGCAAATATTAACCAGAATCAGTGGAAAGATTAAAGAATAAACTTGTTGCTGGAAATAAAAATATGCTCACAAATTCTGGAGCCAGCAGGAATCTGGGTCATTTTAAGGGGAAAAAACTTTCCAGACGAGGCTTGCTGCAGCCCACGGTACAACGAAGACAAGGTCACAGCCCTCACCCCAGTGCTGGGTGTCTCCTTTCCTACTTCCAATGTGAGCAGGAACACAAACTCTTGCCTAATAAGGACTGTTAAAAGCCTGTTTAACAACGAGATGGATCTTTTATAATCAGCTTAGGTTTTGGTAATTATATGTAAAGGTTTTCAATTTTTTTCTTTTAAAAAATTTATTTTTATTGACTTCAGAGAGGAAGAGAGAGAGAAACATCAATGATGAGAGAGAATCATTGGTAGGCTGCCTCCTGCACTCCCCACACTGGGGATTGAGCCTACGACACGGGCGTGTGCCTGGACCGGAAATTGAACTGTGGCCTCCTGGTTCATAGGTCGACACTCAACCTCTGAGCCACGCTGGCCAGGCTCAAATTTTTCTTTTTAAAAAAATTATTGATTTCAAAGAGAGAATGTATAAGTTGTTCTACTTATTTATACATACATTGCTTGCTTCTTGTATGTGCCCTGACCAGGAATTAAATCGGTATAACGCTCTAACAAACTGAGCTACCTGGCCAGGGCCCCAAATTTTCTTTTTAAAACCATTTCTTGCTTATTAAAGACTTCTCTGTAAGCCTTATTCACACTGTCTGATCATCCCTTGACCAAAGGGTTTGTTAACAAAGATCAGCTCCGCTCCTGTCTTGTTCCTGTCATCAGCGACCCTGAATTACCAAAGACTTTTTCTGTACGCTCATGTTTATTCTGTCTTAGAAAAATTGGGGCGTCCTTGAGCTACAGAATAATTTGTTTATCACGGAGGCTGGGAGGAATGAAACCTTGTGCTCCCCACCCCCACCCCCCCCAGCCAGTGCTACAGTCTGAGACGAACATACATCCAGAAAGCGGGGCATGTTTTCGACATAACAATGAGGCATTCTGGTCTTTTCTGAGCTTTTTACAGCAGATGTATTACTAGTCTTTAGCTCATTCTCCTTATATTATTATAGAAGGCTCAGGGATTGGTGGGAAGCCAACAATATGTCTTCTCAAATGTACTTCTTTCGGGTAGGGACAGTATGTTGACGACTTTTACAGCACATAGTTCAATGACGTATCTTTCTGTACAATGCCACTGCACTTCCCACAATATAAGCTTTGTGCTGTTTTTGGCACAACTTCTTCAA